CTGAAATGTGGATTCACTTTTTAAGAGCAGGAATATCACGGCTTGAAATCAGTGCCATGGCTACTATTTTTAATATGGAGGTCACGTCGCCTTTGAACTGCTTTTTCAGTCACAACATAAACCCGGATTGCAGCAGATTTGTATAATTTTTGGGTCAGCTCTTGAATTCTCAAGATTAGCCGAGTGCTTAGCGAAGGCGGCACGGTTACTCTCTGAACAGCAAATGCAAGGATTCATGAAGACTAAGATCAAGGCTGAAAAGGTTTGATTCTTTCTGCCTGTCAGAGTAGGAAATTCCTTTAAGTCCCAGAATGTATCTGGTTGCTCAACTCTAGACCGATTTGAGAGCAGCAATGTTTTCTGCTCTTAAAAGGTAAACAATATTCTATATGAATATTACTACTTTCTCTTATACTTCTGAATTGTAGAATTTCAACATAACGTGTCTTGATTAGAATTCTACATTTTTATCTGTAGATCTTAACATTTTTTAGCAGTTTCTATTGATTCTACACATCTCGAAGGTGTAAATAATGTGTCAGCATAAACACCTTATTTTATAAACAGCCCCAGTTATATTTAGTTTTTTCACAACTTGCATGCAGAACCCCGCACACGTCTACATTGAACATCTGACAGTTCACCCAGTCTTCAATTTTGTCTGAATGTGGTTGAAATTCATTTGCTGCTCTTTAGTGTTTCTAAATTGTCCTAATTTGAGATAATCTGCCGGTTTGATTAGTTTGCTAACTATACGAGAATGAAGGTCATTGATAAAAACTAGCAGTGGCCCTAGTGCAGATTCCAGCGATAAACCACTCATTACCCCAACAATGTGCAGTTCATTGTGCTGAGAAAGACCTACCAACAATAGCTTCAGGAATTTGCCATTCCCATAGCCAGCCACCTCTGTGGTGTTGGGTCCGCAGAGCCTGGTTTTGAATGTCGTGTCGTCTACATCTCGTGATTGCAAAAAATAATTAACCATCATAGGACATTGCCCCCGCCCCCCCATGGTGGAATGTATCGTTTTGTGGATTAATTTTAAGTTGTTAACTTAAAAGTGGGGGAAAGGAGTCTCGTTCAGGGGAAAGATAAGTGAAGTGTGCCTCTTTTGCAAACACCGATGGCTTAGGAAGCAGTGAGGTGTGGAATTTCGGCTCTGGATTCTCCCAGTAATTGGATGTGTGGAAAGAGGGGGAGAGGGAGACGAGGATAAAGGGTAGCATTGAACAGGGGGGTGTCATTGTACCTGTTATTGCCAAGGGTCCACTACCTGATCTCCCTTTCTATGGACAGTGGCCATATTTTACTACCTTGAAACCCTTTCTTATTCCCCCTCATGAACAGCTAAGCAAACAGCTAAATGGAGTAATTCAGAGCTCACAATGGCAGGTTTCCCCCTGCATACAGCAACAAACGTAGTCTGAATTTGGCATTTCTCCAGAACTCTTTTTCAATTATTTTTATTATTGAAGTGTTTGCATGAAAAGTGATCAACTGCTCTGAGCAGTTGTGCTGCCAGCACGGAAAAAGATTAACGCAAAACACAATTCTCCACCTTGAGCTTCTGATTAAAAATGTGTGTGTGTGTGCGCTTTATCCCCAGAGGGATAAACGAAAGCACAGCAACTCACTGGGATCAGACTAAATTGAAAAAATAAGAAATAGGGAGTGATTTCTCAAGGTAGTTTGCTCTCTTGTATGGCACACTGGGGCAGGCTAGATGCTTATAGAAAACATGCAAGTGCAAGTCTCGCACTCAACATAATAAACACGACAAAGAGAAAAGCAAAACAGCTTTTGGATTGTGTAGCTCACACCCTTGGAGTGTTTCTGGCCTAGGTTGTGCGTTATGAAACATTAATAAAAAATATGTTTTTATGATGCTTTCTTCTAACGTTTTAACCTTGTCAAGTACAGTATCTGTGGTGGTAATGGTGATAATGAAACTATTCAATAATAAGAAGAAAAAATAAGAAGGGTCTAAATGATTCTCTACTATGAGTCTATAGTAACTGGAATATTATACGTGTTCAAGGTCTATTCTGAAAGTGGAATGTTCTAAGTAAATATAATTCTCTGTTTTTCATTTATTTTTGGCCGTGCAGTGTCCTTTTAAAGATACCAAAAGCAATTTTTCCTACTTAAAAACCCTAAAGCCCCACTAATATTTAAACAAGCCGAATAAGCAAAAACAACAGTTTCCTCATTCTGAACATCTCAGCAGCTGAGTGGTCTATCTTTTCAGTCCCTCAATTCTCAGGTGATGCTGATCTTTAATCCCAGAAGCCACCTGCATTTCATACCTGCAGTTCTCCAGTTCACCCTTGAATTCTTTCATGTCTGTATATGGCCGTGCATTTCTATTTGCCAGTCGATTAACAGTGCAACTGGTCTTCTCAACAGCACAAAAATACAATATGTTCAAAGTCATTATGGTTAATAATTAAAGAAAGATGAACACAGAGATAAATAGTTTCTAATAATATGGGATCTCACTAGCTGTTAATTACCATTAAAAGAGAGGGATTGAGTTGGAAAATAGAAAAAATGTGAAGCCCTGTTATCAGGCGAAGGTTAAAGAGGCATAGAAAGTGGAAGGACCTTGATGTCTTCCGGGAACTGATTTTGAAACCCCTGGACAAAAGGAGAAGGCTGCTCGGTTTTTCAAGGGATTATCAACTGGGCATCTGGAGAACTGCTACTCTCACCCACAGACGCACCCCACAGCAATCCACAAAGCAAGTTGGGGATTAGAAACTGACATTAGAGCAGCGTCGCACCATGACAAATTACAGACCAGATTACTGAGCAGCAGGATATCCACGGATTAGTGTGGCGTTTTCTGATGGGTTACTGTCTTGACACATGTAAGGTGTTGTGTGTGTGTGTGTGTGTGTGTGTGTGTGTGTGTGTGATCAACCACAAAGTGACTGCGTTGTAGCTGAAGTTTGATTTTGCTGTGTCTTTCATAGTTCCCTGTGTTTCCTGGCACTTTTGCACTGTGCTCTGTAAAACATAATTGCTGTTATGCGTAAACAACTTCACAGACATCAATGACGGTCAGTAATGTTGGCAGCTGCATGGCAAATGCGATGTATAACTGGGAGAAACAGAGAAACAGAATATGAAAGCATGCCACCTGATGTTTCTCCAGGTAGGTGTGGAGTCCAGGCTTGCGTTTCGTACTGATAACCAGAGCATTCAACTACATTTGTACAGGTGACAGGGCCCCTCAACTGTGGGGTAACCATCTGTCTTTCCAGTCTGTGTACTGGAAGGGTAATACTCCAGATTAGGGGTGGCACGTTCCAATTACAAATTCTCTATGACCTGTCACTCATTAATAGAGTGTTAATAGCCTGGTAGAAGCTGACCTATGCTAGTGATTAATTGCGTGTAAATAAGCAGTTCATTTTACCTCAGTGTTAATAGCTTGCTAAGCACTTAGAGTACAGGGTCATCCTTAGCTAATACGTCATAAATAATTTAGAAACTCTGTGGCACCATTTACAAAAAAAAAATCATTAATAGATCAATATGAATGATTGGTGTAGTGCTTAATTCTTTCCCTCCTCGCCACCTGGCACCAGGATTTGAAAAGACCTCTGCATTCAGCTTGGCTGCTGACTCATTGTATGAAAAATGTCTAAAAAGAAAAAATGACAGATATGCAATCAGAAATTGTGTTGCAGGAGCACTAAGAAATATTCCGCGAAATGCCTATTATTATTATTATTATTATTATTATTATTATAAAAAGAGCAGCAGCTACATCCCTGGGAAGAGTTAAATACATTTACACAACATGTGGCAAACAGCTCAAAACTATGCAACTCCTGGGCACATGCCAAAATCTAAATCCATGCTGTTCTGTATATAGTTCAAGTCTTTCATGTGTACATAGAGACATTTATCCCAGAAGATCTGAGATAGATTCATTTTGCTTTATAAATACAATAGCTAAACCATCACGGTCATTATCACCCTGCCTGTCAACTCTGCAATCTGTACTAATATAGCCAAGCACAAGGCAAGTCAAATACCAGCCTTTTTTACAGCCCTTAATTATATCCAATCATTTAATTATATAATTAATGTCATTTGTCAGTAAATGGCCAGTTAACTAGGCAGAAGTGCCAGGATCCTGCAGCAAGATGACTGGGTGAAGTTGGTATTGGTATAGGGATTGATTGATTGATTCTGTTGCTGCTATTTTTTTAGTGCAGGATTCTCTTTTATTACATGTTCTTATTTTTACCAAAACACCAACACGGGAAGGGATTTACTTGTCCTGTGATCTGGTTTTGAATCTGGCTGGAGATAATCTGATATTATCTCTCTCCCCACTGTTTGGAAGATCCTAGGTCAAAGAGTTCAGTTTTGCACTCTGTTTTTATACCAGCTGTCTCTGAAGTGAATCAGGTAGTACAGTCATATTCCCGTATAGCAGGTGTAACCCCGGTCTTAGAGAGAAACAGTACTGCACATTTTTTTTGTCTCTAAATTTCCAACTAAGCAGCCAATACCTGTTAACTTGTACGATTTAAGATAACAAGTGGTCCAATTAAGTAATTATGAACTCAGCTGGAATATGAAACAGAAAACCCTTCAGGGTCTCCAGGACCAGGTTGACATAATCTGCTGTATGCAAAAAGCTAGTCGTGATGTCCCATAGGTAAGCTACACTGATAGAGAATATCCAGTGGAATTCATTACATCCACCCTGCACTATCACGAGAGGTCCAAAGGGGTAGAACACAATGACTTTATGTAACACGGCTTTCTTTCTCCTTGGGTGGGGAGCTTGGGTTGCAGCAGCAATCTGTTAGAATGACAATTCATAGAGCTCAAATGGGAAATGAAAGATCTGCAATTGCATCACAAGTACAGAAGGTGATTTCTTCCCTTTTTGCCATTGTCAGTAGGAGGCTTAAATCTATGATTTGGTCCCTTGAAAAGTCCCTCTTTCACGAGATCTCGTTCCTCTTCTTGATTGTTCAGAGTTGCCCGAAATTCTTTTCCAGCCAAGAAAGCCCCTGATGGATCAGTCATTCCCAACGGCTATTGTGATTTCTGCTTGGGCGGCTCTAAGAAGACAGGCTGCCCGGAGGATCTGATTTCCTGTGCTGACTGTGGGCGATCAGGTAAGCCTAAACCCATCCCATCAACCACACACACCCTCACCCACCTGCGCGCCTCCCACATTTGAGGCCAGGCTAGAAATGAGAGGCAAGGAATCAAAGCCATTTACATTTTGTTTCAATATACAGCTTAGCATGTTTTAGGACAGATTTAAGGCCTACAGGTGAGTGTGGCACAGACCCAGGGAGGCTGGCAGGCAGGAGGTGCAGGGAAGAGCACAATGTGGCCACTTGTTCTCTCCCTGCTCTGCGGGTGGATCGACAGATGGAGCTTCAGTTGCCTGTGCTGTACTTCTTAGGTGGAGACTTTCCCAGAACCCAATATAACAAAATGCTGTGTGTCGGTTATATATCTGTTTCACTCTAGACTGATATGTATAACATCCTTCCAAGACGTCCTCGTGGATATAGCAGAGAGTGTGGAGTCAACACTGATAAATATTTAAAAATTGAAGTAACAAAGACTCTTCCTGTTAGGAAAAAAATAAACTCCATCAGTAAAGTCTGAAATAAAGGCACCAGCTAAGTCTGAATAGTAACAAATTATCAAGACGCAGATCCTGTGGCACTCCTAAGGGAACTCTTTATGGCTGTGTGAGAACTCCACAGTTCTGTCCTAAAATGGGTTGTGCTCCTGTTAACATTCGCATCTTTCTGGTGTAGGTTGTTAATTGTGCTCTTTTAACTCTTCTTCTGACAAGCTGTCTTTCTAAACACGTTATATAAAAGGAGTAGAAGACAGGTGGCTAATTACAGAGGTACACTTTCAAGATCATGCCTGTTGACAAGCAATATCAACCCTGCCGTGACTGAAACACTCTGCTGGCAGTAGGTGTTCAGTACAGGGGAATCAGCCAGGAGACGACACTTCATTTGGGTGTTGCGGCCTGTGATTGAATTTCTTTAATCGCCACGTTTCTAATCGCATGCTTTGCATATACGACCACGCTCAGCTGCAGCAGGTCCTGAAGGGGCCAAGAGGAGTGTGTGAATGTGTGTCGTGGCCCAGTGCTGAATCAATGCCTTTCAGCCAAGGGCCCCTGGGTCCCTCTCTCACCATTTGCTTCGCAAGCCACAAGCACCAGATCAGGCAGAAACAGCAGCAGCAAAATCGCAACGCCCCCCTGCAGCAAGCTGGAACTCAAATAATCCCGAAGATGAAAGACGTCTTTTAGTGCTGGTTGACATGTTGTCGCCTTTTGAGGAAGAGGGCTGTGAACCTGGCCCGGAAAGATCACGGGGATTGCTCCTCGTGCAGAACAGGCCTGTAAAGCTTCATTATGTGTAATGGTGCTGTTATAGTGGAGTCAAGCAGAGGGAAAGCATGGTGATACCTAATTGCTAGTCAGTGTCTAGGAAAATCATGGAATATGAATAAACGGGGGATTGTGAAATTTGTTAGCAAACTAAAAAAACACAGTTATTAATAATCAAGATTGTAACAGTAATTACAATGGTCTTCATGCAAAGTATCCCGAAGGTTTGTACATTGGAAGGGTATATCAAGACCATGAATGCAGAATAAACCTAAGCATAAAAGAAATGGAATGCAAGGATCAGGAAATAAAGCATCCATTAGAAAACTGTATTCTGTTTCTGAAACGTGTTTTAAAAAACTGCCAGGTACATCCCGAGTCTCCAGCTCAGGGGAGCACTGCGCCGTTCGGGAGCGACAGGGCTGAATGTCCCCCAGAAACACGAGCAACACATGTCTGAACAAGCAGGGACCTGCCAGCTGTAGTGACCGTGCCTCTCTCTCTGCCAGGTCACCCCTCCTGCCTGCAGTTCACAGTGAACATGACTGCCGCTGTGCGGACCTACCGCTGGCAGTGCATTGAGTGCAAGTCCTGCAGCCTGTGTGGAACCTCAGAGAACGACGTGAGTAGCAGTAACAACCATAATGAGAAGCATCTTTCTGCTCCGAAGGCTCTGCTCAGATTGGTATTTAGCATATGAGCTTAGCATAGTAGGAAAAAAGATTCTGAATCTGTTTTGTGCGCGCCATTATAATCACTTTTTTCATTTAGCATATTGCTTTAAACTAGACATCATGAGCTGCTGCTGCGCTGTTACATTCTGAGTGGCTAAAATATTAAGAACCGACATTAAATAACATGTTGCGGTCTCTGAAAAGAGCGAGCACTTGTTCCACAGAGGTTTGAAACAAACATTTTCTAATGGATGCGTTCTTTTCCTGATTTTTGAAATATCTGAAGCCCTGTCCCATCGCATTCCTGCAGTAGGATTGCCTTCGTCTGAGCTTGTATTAAGGATAATGGGGTATGAGACTGAGCTGAGATTGAGCTCCGGTTATTGTTCTGTCCAGAGAAGGTGATGGAAATCAATTTCGTGCTTCACAAGCCCAGCTGCACACTGTCTGCCCCCGAAGAAAGTGAGTTATTTTGACTCGGAGAGGCTAATATTTTGGCCAGTCAGTGCTATCAGGACTCTGATGTCTCATCCAGAGCACAAGGTGGGGCACGAGATGATTCAGTAATAGCACACAATACGTTAAGCACAGTTTTCACCTCCTGAAAGCCAATCTATTTCTCACTAGATCACATGGTCATCTTAGGACCTGTGCATCAAGGAAGTGGTTTATCAATTTAGAACAGCGCAATAGCTATAGCTCAGAGCTGGTAACAGTAGCTGTCTTGTGTAAACTTGCTATTGAGGAACCTGTTGTCTTGGCCAAAGTTGTAGTCTTCCACTGTTGTAGTCTCAGGTTTCAGTTGCACTGTTTTAACCAGACATCTGAGTTTGGTGTTTGAAATTGTGTGCATCAGTTTGATCCATCTGAACTCTGGTATACAGTCACTTGTATAAGGCAGTGTTAAGTATGCCAGCATCATCCAAACACGGTAGATGTCATAATGCTGGCATAAATCCAAACATAGCAGATGCTGTGATTTGATATTGAAGAAGCTCGCTCCGGTAGTGGTAGGACACGACCTGCAGCTCTCAGAATCTCCCTGTCTCTACCTTCCACTCTGGGCAGGATCAGCTGCTGTTCTGCGATGACTGTGACAGAGGATACCACATGTACTGTCTGAGCCCCCCCATGGCAGAACCCCCAGAGGGTAAGTAACGCAAGCATAGTGAAGAGCCTGGTGGCTGGAGTGCATCTCGCTTTCTGTCATGTAAGGGGGACTTGCAGTTTATGACTCTCCCCTGAGTGCTCCAGAGTTCATCAACCGTAGCTCTGTCATTGCAGATCTTCGCTCCTGCTGATCCTTAAGTGTTAAAGCAATTACTGGCAGAAGGGTTCAATCACTAAATTAAATGTCAATTGTGCAATTGAAGCACCCGTTGGATCAAAGTTATATAATGGAGTGTACTGGAAGAGTGATGCTTCCCTACCATCTGTTTGAGTTTATTACAGGGTTACCCCTAGTGATGCTGGTGTTCCTTACACACCTGTTTAGCCTGAAGCAATCTGGACAAAGTACTTCGCTCAAGGGACAACAGTTGAGTCCAGAACCTAATCCACAAGGATTGTGTTATCTAAACATGAATAAGTCGCTTTAACCTGTGTAGTAGTGTGGTCAACCCTTCTTTTGCTGCATTGTGACACAAGGAGATCTAGGGTTGATGTTAAAAACAAATCTGAATTCCGAAATTCTGAAGATTCTGTTGAGTGCTTCTTCTTGAGCATTGCTGAAGAACAAAATAAAATAAATGCCTCGGCTGTCTTTACAGGGAGCTGGAGTTGCCACCTGTGTCTGAGACAACTGAAGGAGAAGGCATCAGCTTACATCACCCTCACCTAAGCCACGCCCTGTGCCCTGAAATCTCCAGGCCACACCTACTCCGAAGCCCAAGCCCACACCCCCTTCTCTGTCTCTCAGCCAATGAAGAAACTCCAAATCTCCTGCAGGTTCTACACATTCCAACAGAGCAAACAGACACACTATCTTAATTCAGCTTGTGCCCCAGTGTTAACAACCCACAACTATGAAGTATGACACACAGCGGCCAGGTGCTTTCATAATGTTCCTTATCTGACCCACTTCCCTTGACATCTTCTCTGCCCAAGGAAAAAATCCGGAGCTTTTAGCTTTTTAGTGTTTTTGTTTTGATCTAAACCAAGATATAGATGAGCCTCTGGCAGGTTCTGTAGACTGAAACCAAAATTCTGGGTTCTGATCCACAACTGAAATTGCACTGTGATGGTTTTTCTATTAGCGGGCACACAGGAATAAGCGAGTCGGCCTATGAACAGAACTTTTTGTTTTGCTTAAGAAAAAAGTCTTAAGAAAAGTCTTTTGTTGTGAGCTGTGGTTGCACAGGAAAGGTACAGCAAAACAAAAGAAGAACGCATTATCTTTCTATCCAAAGAGCATTTACATCACAGGCTATAGGTGTGCATCTCTTCCTGCAGAGCAGGTACAGTGAAGATAAAATACTTGGAGTTCAGTAGTACAACTCCCAAAGTCATTTGGACTTGGAAACACACTTGCAGCAATGTCGCAAGTGGAAGAGAAAATATTTTCCTTCTAAAGGAATGACATAAAGTCACTCAGCTAGTTGATTCGCCTAAACCAAAGTGTCCTCAAGTCCTGTGCTGATGGCCAGACCTGCCACTGAGTATGCTATACGCTGAGCTTGGCTGTTTTTGTGTTGCACTAATTTTAGCACTGGGGCAGAAGCTTTGTAGTTCTGTTGCGGGATAAAAAAGGGCCCTATTTGTAAAAGCAGAGGCTGACTGGTGACTGCATGGTATGGTTTCTGCAAAACACAGGACAGGAGCAACACGTAGAGCTTTCTACGAGGAGGAGTGACATGGAAAGGCTCTCAACATAAAGGGTGCGTCTTGTCTCCAGAAAGCACGATAATGTGAAATGAACAAAGGTGACATTCAGGATGCCAGACTCCCCAGAGAGTCCCTCATTCTTATGTGCCTTTGTGGTGGCAGGCATGCTGATTAGTTGCCGTTATCGGTGTCAAAAATTCCAATTATTTTGTGTCCCATATAGATGCTTCTCCTGTAATCCAGATCAGTATAGCTGGTACCGATTTGGCTTAATTTCCCTTGCTTCCTCCTCAGACTGTGTCATGAAAGACAGACAGGCGTCTTGTACACTAGCAACTTCGACAGAATCAGCCTTAATAAGAACAAGATCGCAGCTGAGTATTTTATCAGATTGTTGAATGTTACTTATGTTATTTCTGAGAACTGACTGAGGTGCATACTAGACTGCCCTGTGTTTTTTCTGAATCCTACCTTTAAAAGACTTTGGAATTGTGCAGTATGTGTGCAAGATTGTTTCACAAGTCTCCTTTCTGCAGTGTATTCTGTTCATTAACTGAACCTGAACGCTTCAAAAGGAGTAGTGATTGAGACCTTATAGGACCCAGAGTCGTGTGAAAACCGTCCTTATTTCTAAGTTTTTGATTAATTCCTCTCATGTTTAAGCATCACCTTAAAATTATTTAACCACATGGCCATCTGGTACACAGTCCCAGCTTGAAGAAAAGCATGAAAGGAGAAATCATTCCACATTGAAGAGGAAAAGAATTTAAATGCTGGCAAACATTCCTGTAACAAAATGCTACAGTATGTACATATGGTCAATGTCGGCTATTTTTCTCAGCAAAACTGGTCTGTGGCTTTTGCAGGGTTATGGAAATTATGGGTTTTCCAAACGTTTCTTGTTTTTCTAAATAGTGCTTCCTGTCTTCTCGATAATTGCATCGTATGTATTGAGTCTTGCAGGATAAATTTGAATTTTTAATCGTTCCTGCAAGATTCCAGATGACCTACATCAGAGTGTCTCTTGCAATCTCGTTATTAGCTCAATGTTTTATTTTTCCATTTAAACACAAGTCTGAATTGCCTTCCTGCCCCCGCTGGTAACACAGAACAAATGATTAATCAATAGGAGGGATTTCTGCCTTTGTTTATCATTCATTGCAAATCCATGACATTTGCTCTGAGTTATTCTCTGTTGTGATTCCTGTTTAAATTCCCATCCAGGAAACCTGAAATTAGTATGGCTGCGGTAAGCACTTATTCTGCTTATTCTGGGTTGCAGTATCAGTCGATGTATTTGTAGATCAAGATAGAACAGTGTGTAGCTCTCATGTGAACATTATTGTGCGTCTCTACCCGCCTATAATAATATCATTTGGATTATCTTTCATATTCTGCAAGTAATTTATTAATTTTGTGCACCCCTCTATTTTTTAAAATTCTTTTTTAATAATGGCTAGTGTCAATTTATATAATTTTTTTTTACAGTCGCACTTTACTGATTGGTTGCCTATTCGTAAACTGTTATCTTAGGTGGCTTATAAGGGAGTAATGGCATTCAAAATGTATTGCAACCTATCCAGTTTTATCCTTTAATATTCCCTAATCTTAAAAAATTGAGCTGCAAAAGGTGGCACAGCAGACAACTGGTATAAGATTGCTAACAAGGAAATACAGGAGTTAATGTTACAGGATATAGTGCTCAGCAGTCATCTGTGCAGCAGTGGTCTGGGTTTAGGACTTGTAACTGGCAGGTTGTGGGTCTGTATCCCTGGTGAGACAGTGCTCTTATACCATTGAGCGAGATGCTTCACCTGGCTTCTTTCAGCAAAATACACAGCAAAGCTATGGGTACAGAATGTAAGTCACTTTGAATAAAAACATAAGCCAAATAAATGAGTAATAGTTTGAATGGAGTCACAGGAGAGCTTTCCTCTGTAGGATAGGAGAAGAAGCCTGCTCGATATGACTGCCCACAAGGCCATGCATTTGCTGAGAAAAGTAGGGAAAGCGTTTCACAGTCACCAGGGCTGTGGGTGTCCCTCTGTTTGGTGATGTTCCAGAGCGATAGCTGACGCAGCACTGACTTTGTCAAATCTGATGGAAATGCGTCATCAGATCTGGAGTTTGCGGCCGATGATAGTGGCATTTGTCATCATCATCCCTCTTCTTTGTATCCCTCTTGTACGAGGGACTGAGGATTTTAATCGCATAAAATAGTCATTTTTAAAAATTGCTTCTTTGAATGCTAAAAATATATACAGTATATATCGGAATGTGTCAGAAACCCACAGAGTGCAGAATTGTATAGCTTCATAGGCAATCAGTAACAGCTTGAAGGGGAGAAGGGTTTTTGTATTGCCAAGAGGGCCTTGTGCAGTATCTCTGAGCAGTATTACAGAACTCCATGCTAGACAGTGTTCCAAGCCAGCTTGTTTATATAGCCAATATTGAATTGCTGAGAAGTGGATGGAATTTGTTGTGCTGTTGATGTGTGCGTGTATGTGGGTATACTCAGCTGCCATTTTAAAAATGGTGGCTGTACTTTTTATCGTTTTTTGCATGTCGTTAATTTAAAAAACATTTGGAAGAAAAGAACAGAAAAAGCACACTTAATTCGCAATAACTTGGTTGTAACACTCCCCCCTCCCAGAGGTTTAAATAATTTATTTTTTCTGATTGAATTCGATGCGTTATCATCAAATCTGTGAGAATTATATTGAAATACATTTTTTTAAAAGGCAAAAGACAAATATTTATTTATTAATTTCTAAAATCTTATTTTTTAAAATTCCCAGTGGTGTCGAAATTTAAGCCAGCTTATGCATTTAACCTTGCAGGCCTGTGAACACATTTTAAATACTTAGAATGGGCTCTTTACCGTATGCTTGACTGCGCTTTGTGTGCTAGAAAAATAATAATTTAGAACAAGTATGGCTGTGTGTTTTGCAAGCTTGCGTTAAAACGCTCTCTGAATCTGTTTTATAATCCAAAGCCATTTAGATAAGAGGTTTTTTATGGCGTATATTTGAAATCCTTGTTGCTAACCTGTGTTTCTCAGCCTCTGTCCTGAGTGCTCTCAGATTCTGAAAGTCTCCTGAGCCACATGGAAACTCAGAGTCACACCTCTCCCATTTCGGGCACTCGCCATTGGATCCAGTGTTACACAGATGTGCGGGTTTTCAGGTTTATTTTTTATTTCGGATTGCTTTCTACCATGCCAGGGGTGTGTTCTTTGGTTTCTGAAGTATTATTCTTCCCAAAATGTGTATAAGTGTACCTGTTGTTTGCGTTCTACGACTTGATGATCCCCCTACTGCTTCATCGTCTTATTAAGAGTTTCTTTGTACTTTGAAGGTTTTGCAGAGGAACTCCATGGTACTAGAAACCTGGAAAAAACGGACTTTAAAAAGTGCATTCCAGAATTCCTAGGACATTTTCTCTGGGTTCACTGTGGATGACAGTTCAGAGTTTACCACATGGAAACTGAATGGACGTCACTGCTGCTGATAAGCGTATCAATTATTAGAGCTCCTTGTTGAAAAGATGCTCCAGGGGGATGTCCCCTGCTGAAACGGCTTCTTCCTGCTGAGGTCTGCCGATTCCCGAGTGAGCTGAGCCACTGACGTGGCTAAATGGGGGGTCAACACCCCTGCATTACAGCCTCATAGTCCTGAGTTCACTCCCAGCTTGACCAGCAGGTCTGTGTGGCCTTTTCTCGGGGTACTCTGGTTTCCTCCCAACCCCCCAGCAGGTTAAGCTCCCTAGGCTACTCTGAGTATTTCTGTGGGGTTTAAAGTGCTGTATTTTTCTAGTACAACCATTACGTCTCAACAGAGAAACGGAACAAAATGAGCTTGATGGGGTGAATGACCTCCTCTTGTTTGCAGCCTAGCAGATGTTGGCTGTTTGACACGACTGTCTAAAACAAAATACAAGACCTGGGAAACAAAACGCACCTGCAGCACAGCCTGAGCACTGGTGCTGGACAGTCAGAGCAGATCAAACCAGAAACTTCAAGACTGGGGACAGAAGAAGGGTTAAAACCGAGGGGAGGCCATCCCCCCACCTCGCTCCTGTAGGTAAGCAGTTGCTCATGTGCATCTAATCGATCCAGCTGTCCTGCCCAGACTTTTCTTAAAGGACCACAGGGGCCAGATATCAGCTTCTATCGGCTGTGAAGGCTGAGGTTAGCTACGACACCTCACTGTTGTGCCATAAAGCTTTCAGTGTCCACAATATCAGATGTTAATCTAGGACCTTTTCAGCGTACATTGTAAAAAATGTAAATGGAGAGCACTTGGGGGGAAAAAAAATGTTGTGCTTTGCATTGCCAGATGAATCTCCTCTATGAACTTGTTGCTAGGTTCTTTGTGCTTGTTGCATATATGCTTTGTTTCCATTGCTTGTGCCATACAACTGTAGAATCCCTGATAAAGACAGAATGTATACAGTATGCATGCATGTGTGTGTATGTGGGGCAGGGTGAGAACTTTTGCCTGGAGGTCATGGAGATGCTACAGCACTTCCAGATGCGACAGAACTAGCAGGATGATCCCCAGTGTGATGAGCCTCTAGCCTGGACTTTACTTTATTACCCCCACCACCAGAACAGTATAAGCAGCTCCTCTACCCCTTTGCCTTTCACCCTGGTCCAGCCATAGAGCTGTGAATCACACGCTGTGGAGCAGTACAGTGCCAAAGGGGGCAGCCTGCTTCTGCCCGGGGCTTGTGAACAGAGCCCTTGCCCGATCACTCAGCAGTGCCTCCCTGTGTCTGGCCAGACACCCGCAGGGCCTAAACTGGGTTGTCCTTTCCTGCACGAAAGTAGGTGAAGCAGCGTTTGAATGTTTAGTTTACCCCACGGAGGTGGAGAGACAGTTTCAGTCATACTGGCACCTTAAACCTGCAAGGGAATTGTTAGTGTTTTGATGTATGCGGTGTGTCTACTCTAAGGATGCCTCACTGCACAACCCTCCCAGTTTTTCATGGCCGTACCTTCCTGTATAAATTGTGTTTTACAGCAGCTTTGACTTTCTTCTTTGCCTCTTTGTTCCTTCTCTACACAGAGATGTCCTAGTATTTCTGGAGTGCACTGCAGTCGCTATGTGTGTGTATGTGCACGTGAGGCTATCTGCTGGTTTCAAAGGGGTCACCACAAAACCAGTCCGCTGGTAGAGATAAGGTCTCCAGCCTTTGCTCGATTCACTTCAACAAACTTCGAAACTTAAGTATTTGATATCCGTATCCCAGTCATCTAGTCATCTTCCGTCTGTAGAAAGAAACGATTAAAATCCAAATTTGACTTCTTGGTTTAAAAAAAAAGGCTTCCTTAAAATGGCTTCTGAAATGACCTCTGGAATGCAATGGCTGGAAATTGTACTGATCAGAAGCAAGAAGGCAGTGTGGCTGTGCTCTGCACTCTGGCCTGTGCATCACTGACAGATGTCATATGTCCCCTTTTCATTTCTTTCCATGCAGCTCCCAGAATCTTGATTTCAGAAGCTGTGGTATGTTGCCTGGGCTCAGCGAGAGCCGCTGTTAAGGCAGAAGTGGCAGCAGAGAATACTGCTCAAACACATAGTAGGGGAGAGGCAACAGCAATGAAAGACGATTGGGTGGAAAATACATGCGACGTATCTGTTCCTTTAAAATCGATCTGCCACCGTTGATCTGTCGCAAATAGCCCGTGAACAGTAACAATTCAAAAATCAAGGCTGGGATCTGCTTTTTTCTTTGTATATTACCGAGTCGTACCACAGATATGTTTCTTAGCCAGGGGCTATTAGTTTTAAACCTCGTCTTCTTATAACAGACAGGTCTGCTGAATGGTTTTCTATATGAAAATATTCAGCTCAAGTAAATAAAAAAAAAATAGTTATATGCATTCAGTATTACTGGAACACGATTGGAGGTTTAGAGCATAATGTAATGAATTACTGGGAGCTGGGCTGGAGTGACTTGTCCTGGGGTCTCCAATCCTGGTCCCAGAGATCCGATTTGTCTGCAAGATTTCTAAAGTGTCTTTAAATCAGCAGGATCCAGAAAGCTGGGAGAAAGTGATAAAACTGGTGTAGCTTACCCCACAATGAGTTGATTTCAGTCTGGCCTCACTGGCAGGCTCACTGTCCTTCCAGGACTGGGATAGAGGACCCCAGATGTATATTCACTGCCCTGGGTATGCCAGGTAGAGAGCACATCCCCATTGGTGCACTGACAGTATTCCGTATGGAAAGGAAATCCAGAAGTGGTTCTTTTGGACCAGGGTTGGGGAGCCCAGTCCTACTGTACGAGCTTGGTGTGTCTCTGTTTCTCACCAGCAGATGGCAATAGATCCCTTCCTTCTGCACTGCCTTGTTCACCATTGCTTGGTGCATTTTTAACGAAAGGACTGTCCTCGTACCTTACAATATTACAGTATTGTCTTTCTGTTGTATCATTCTCCCACTGATGATGAAGGAAACAGAGCAACGTCTTTCTGTGCCTACACCCCCTCTCAAATCAAATGAACCCTCCCGTAAAATTCCTCCCTGGAAGGAGGTTACTGAACTATAGTGTTATGTGCGATGCTGATTGTCTTCCCTTTGTATTTCTACTAATTCAGCTTGGACTCTCTAAATAACTTCTATTGCATTCGCGCTCTAGTAGGCTAGAGAACAGATGCAAACGAGAGGGAATATAAAGCCTTTATTTAATAATCTTCTGTGCACATCTTTTTCTCTGGAATAAGTGTGCAAACAAACATGCACAAAAAAAAAACCATAAGCATGTGTTCATTAGTATTTCCTTCTCCAGGAGAGATCTGAGGGGGTCGTAGGTGGGGTTCCGCTGGGGATGACGTTGTGCAGTTGGGCGTTCCGAGTGTGGACGCGCAGCTGGCACGCCTACTGATAGCAGCTGTTCTAGACAGATCTTGAAGCAGAGACTGCCGTTCCTCAATCGCTCCCTCATCCCATTCACTTCCTCCTGTGCTGGGACTGGGACAGGCCCTCATTCCAGGCTCTCCCTCTGCCTGGGCAGCTGGAGCGCAGAGCTGGGCAGGAACAGCAACAGGAGGAACAGCTAGGGAGGAAGAGGGAGTGTCCCATCAAGCACCTTAGCTCCAGTGAGGCACTCCAGTGAGCCAGGGCTGGTCTTGTATATTACTGTGCTGTGATTCTTTGCTTGCACCTTTAAATTTTTATGACCCGTGGGTGTGCGTGTTTCTTTTTCCCTTTTTCAGTAACTCTGTGCGTTGGAAAATGAAGTGAAGATTTTTGTTTTAAATCGGTTTTCCAAGAGATCAAATCTCTTCTTTGGTTGTTTTTTTTTCTTCTTCTTGGTCCTGAATTTGGGAATGCTTTAAAATAATTCTCTTCATCAAATGTACATTCATGAATTCATTTTGGGGGGGGGGAGGGGCTTTCAACTTTTTTTAAATTGTTTTGGGTTTTTTTTTTGAGGGGGGAGGGGTTCTTTCCATTTTAAAAAGAAATAAAAGTTGTTACTCCTGTACCTGGACTCTTGTGTGTGTGTGTGGGGGGGGTGAGGGCAGGGGCATTTTTCTTTGCTCATAGTTCTCCTTGACTTTTAATGATTATAACTTATAATGCATTATAAGTCTGCATTTGTACCTCCATTTAATTTTAGATTATGCCACATCTATGTAGGGTGCATAGTCGTTTGCTTTGGAATGCATGTCTAGGAGACACAAATAGCAACGGTGAAATCAGGAGCGGAAACCTTAATGGGGAAATCTTAGCACGAAGCTTTCATGTTGTCATGCACGAGTATCAGAAACCAGTCTACTTAACATTCTGCTTCCATTGTGATGATCTTCATTTTGTACCTCCAATTAGAGGCCGTGTTCTCCAGAAGAAGTGTTTCTTAGATGAGAAGGAAATCATGCGCTGCAGGTGACATTGCTGAGAAGTTCCCAGCTGCAGGCAATCAAGTGCTGGATTACCAGACAACCTGCTGTCTTGGAGAGGGGCAGGCAGGCTGGCTAACTTTGCTTCTGGGAGGGCGTCACCTGACTCATTTTTGATGGGACTGTTGGGGGGAAAAAATAATAAAATTTTCAGTAAGGTGGTGAAATGGGGAAGGGAAAAAGAGTTGACGAGAGGGTGGGGAGGGTCCAGAGTGGCCGAGGTGGCGCTGGTACTGCCCCATCGGGTCTGGGCGCCGGTCTGATTCTAAAAGTACGGCAGCGGGCAGGCGGGTGTCCAGAGCCCACTCCCATCACTCCCCTGGGCAGACACACACTCTTCTGCAGGCAGGGGCAGGACTCCCACC